AAGAAATTACATAAAAATGAGAACTTTTAAATAGTTTTGATATTAACATTGATATATTTTTTTTCAAAATTTTATGATATCTTCAAATTTATATTTTATTTAAAAATAAAATCATTATTGATTTCATAAAAAAACATAAAATCGTATTATAATATCGACATAAATAAATAATAAAATAGAACATTAATATCGAGATGTGTCTCGATACATTGCACAAATACTATTCTAATTTGATATAATTTATTTAATTAAAACTTATAGAACAAATTTATCAAAATCAATAAAGAAAGACCGAAAAGTTTGTTGGGAAAAAAAACTGGAAAATGTCTTTTTAAATCAATCAAAAAAAATCAAAAAGTACTTTGAGATCAATAAAAAATTATAAAAATCTTTCTATCATTTTACGAATTTTTGATCACCTTAAAAATACAACCACTTGACTAAAAATCGTGTTATATGAATCATAAAAAATTAGAAGGGTATCCGTGTAATTCAGCGAGATACATCTTGATTTTATATTTGTGTTCTGTCGATGTTATAATGCGGTTTTATGTGGTTTTGAGAAAAAGAAAACTTTTTGTTTTTGAATGAAATATAAATTTGAAGATATTATAAATTTTTAATAAAATAATATCAAATTAATTATTTAAAAGTTATCGTTTTATGTAATTTTTTAATTTAATTTTTTATTATAATTTAATTAAAGTTTAAAAACGAACTAATTTATTTTTGGTTTGATAAACTATTTTTTTAAGATAATAGTAAGTATTTTGTTACAATGATTATCTTAATTATATTTTATATTTAAAATGATGTTTATCATGTATTCGATTATGTTTATCTATGATTAGTTATACAAATTCAAACATGTAATTTTAATAAGATATACTCATGTGCATTCTACTTGTAATCTTAAATTTTAAGTAATATGCATCAATAAACAATATTTATGCATAAAAAATTATTTTTAAGAGTTTTTATCAAATATTTTATAATATAACTAAAAATGTACTCGCACAATGCAGCGAAATACATCTTCATTTTAATGTTTTGTTTTTTTGTCTTTGTTGATATATAATACGGTTTATGTGGTTTTGATAAAAAATAATGTCTTTACTTTTGAATAAAAAATAAATTTGGATATATCATAAAAATTTGAAAAAATATATCAATATTAATATCAAATTAACTATTTAAAAGTTCTCATTTTTTATATAATTTATTTAATTCAATTNATTTAATTTAAGTCTAATATCAAAGTAATTTATTTTTGGCTTAACAATAAATTTTTTTAAATATAATGATTATCCTAATTATATTTTAATTTTTTTATATTTAAAATAAGATGTTTATCTTGTATTTGATTATGTTTATCAGTTTATCTATGGTTAGTTATACGAATTCAAAAATGGAGCTTTAATAAGTTGTACTTACACATAATTTACTTGTAATCTTAAATTTTAAGTAATATTCATTAATACACAGTATTTCATACATAAAGAATGGTTTTTAAGAATTTCTTATCAAATATTTTATAATATAGTATAGATATAAATGTATTAATTTAATTTTATCTTAAATCAACCAATATATTAGATTTATTCAACACGTTTGATTATTGGTCTCGTCAATTTTTCGAAAATTATTTTTTTCAAAGTCAAAAGTGAATAAATAAATAATCAAATATCTTATCTTGTCACGTAAGCACGTATCCAATCGCAAACCCATTGTAAAAAAAATATTTGGCGAGCACAACATGTGATTCATACCGGATAATGGGCAAAAAAGTAGGCACAATAGCATTTTGGTCACCATCAATGTGGATCTAACCGTCTTAATTGCAACAAACTGCGACCATCAAGTCAGAATACCCCATCCCGCCACCGTCCACCGTCGCTATTTATGGTTGCCTACGTCTGAAAAGCCACGTCATCCAAGATAAAAGGCCGTAATTACTTGATTCACGAAGTTTCATCAAATTGCGGAAACAACCCTTCATGTTTGTAGAATTTGAATGAACCCCTTTTGTTTTAACTCAAAATTGTGTTGGACAACAAAAAGAACTTTGGTTTTTTTTTAGAAATTAGATTTGAAGTGGATAAAAACTGAACTTTAAAAGTAAATATAAGATTCTACCTATCTGGAAAATAAATTGTTTGTCGGAGTCTACAGGAGGGAGGGGTAATATGGACGTATGTCATGATGATACATGGTACGCGTATATATGATAAAGATAGATGTCAAGACCCTAGTGGATGTGACAAACTGCTTCCGGGTGACACAGGTTGTACAAGGGATTGACACTAAATATGTTACTCGTTAAGATATTGGATGAAGTTTTCTACGTGATTCAAAGGAGTGTTCCATGATGTATGTTATTGGTAGACGACATTGCATTGGTGGTGTAGACGAAAAAGAAGTATGTGAACACACAGTTGAAACAATGAAGGGTGGTATTAGAAAAAAAGGTGTGCATTAGCGGCTCAATGACAATACTTGTGGTGCAATTCTATAAAGAGCGTGATGACGAATGGTTGAATGTCAACATTAGAGAATAAGAGGTACCTTAGACTAATAGTCTCATGTTATAGTGGATGGTTGCGATGAAAATGTTATGGGGGCAAGAAGACGTCTTTAAAGCTGAGAAGAATAATTCTATAGTATGGCCGTCAGGCCAGCCCTATTGATTGGATTTGAGTGTTGGTTGATAAACAAGTCACGTATGAGAAAGTTGGAACTTGTGGAGATGGTGGTGGTGAGATGGACATGTGGTAGAATCATTGGCTAATTTATGTCAAAACCATAACTAAAAGATAGATTTGGAAATTCATGTAAATCTGAAGGGTAATTTGTGTAAATATGTGAAAACTTGTAGATGAGTCTTCCTATACAAATCTCTCTCTTTTGTAATCCCAATGAATTCTCATATGATGACTTCAAACTTGAAAATGCCACCGTCACACATGGAAATGGAAACACGCACTTTGTTAGTTTCCCTTTTCCCTCTCTCTACTTCTCTTTAAAAAACGGTTACTGCGTCCATTCTTCATATCTACTGCTTCTTTCCAATCTCTCCATTGGAAATAATCAGCCATGGAAGCTGTTAACGGGAAGCTTGATAAAGGGCTTATGAACCTCAAATGTTCCGTMCAGAATTACGATTGGGGTCGAATTGGGTACGACTCGTCGGTTGCCAGGTTGTTTGAAAGGAACTGTGGGGRTCAGATTGAGGAAAATAAGCATTATGCTGAGTTTTGGATGGGAACTCATGTATCTGGACCGTCGTTTTTGATCCAGGAAGAAGGGATTGGGAATATGAGTTTGAAGTCGTGGATTCTGCAAAACCCTAAGGTTTTGGGCGATGTTGTTGTTGAGAAGTGGGGGCGTGATGTGCCCTTCTTGCTAAAGGTAATCATGCTTTTCTGTTTTTAATTTTTTTGTTGAATCTGTGCTGGTAAAATTGTTATGCAATTACGTAAGGAACACGAAATTGATAAGCTATTTCTTGTGTGTTTGGGTTAATGGATTGCAATTAAGACATTGGTATATGTATATGTGCAATTAGTACAGCGAATTACTAAGATTCTTCAAGAGAATACCTGCAATTATAAACGCTGGTATGATTTGAAATGAATCCCGTTTCTTCTTTATTAAGTTTAATTACTCCAAAGTTCTATGTAAATTGAAAAGTTTTATGTAAGTTTATATATATATATAGGGTTGGGTTCATATGAGACCTGCCTGATTTCGTGAGACTTGGGAGGCCACATTTTTACACTTGAAACTTTACCGCAAAAACACTTTGAAGGTTAAAAAAAGTCGAACCTTCACAGCAAAAACATTGTGAAGGTTACCTTCACAGCATTTTGCTGTAAAGTTTCAAGTGTAAAAAGGTGGTCTCACAGGCCTAATTCCACCTTTTCAAAGGATTTTTTTTAAGTTTTTGGTTGATTTCGAAGGATTTTAAGTTTTTTGGTTGATTCCGAGAGACTTTTCGGGTTTTTTGTTGGTTTGGATAGATTTTTCGGTTGTTTGGTTGATTTCTAGGGACTTTTTTTAATATTGTGAAACAGCTTTCAAAGTTTAACGAGTGCACTTTTCATACAGCATAAAAGTAATTCATTACTTACGCAAATAAGTTGAGCGGGTGCACAGAACCCGCTAAGCAATAGGTCCTCCCCTGGTCAAAAAAGAACTTTGTTTGGTTTTGTGTATGAATCCAACGTTTTTTGTTGATCATAGTTTTTATCATGATTTTACTGTGCACATAGTTTATCATTATTATTTGTTCTGCTCATTTAGTTATATTTTGATGATCTGTGAAAATCAATGGTTATGTCTTCCTATTATTACAACGGTTTTTCTATAAAAATACTTCCAAATCGGTCGGTTGATCAAGCTTTGACCAGTCACTGAGCCAAAATCAGTCCTAAACGGGCCCAATAACCGAACGCGAACCTTGCTTTTTTTGGACCCTTTCTTTACCAAAAATGGTACAAACTGGTTTCGGGCTTCAAATAACTTATGATTATTGATTATGTTATTAGTTGGTACATGTAGAATACATTTTCCATATTTAGTTGGTTTGTTTAATCTGACTTATTGGTGCTATGTAAATGCAATCAACTTCAATCAAGTTCAATTTGATGTTTTTTGTGAGCTCAATAATGGCTGGAGATGTACCATAATCAAATTCAAATTCACAAGCAAGCTTCGTATAAATGTTTAATGAATGGAGCTTCATGCAAATGGTAATTTCACCTCAATTTCTTCTTCATAACTAAATTTTGTTACTTAGAGGCTGTTTGGTTGGTTTTCCATTAAGTTCTATACGGATAAAGCTGTCTGTGTGGATTAATTTGTCTGTATAGATTGAGAATTCTTTTGTTTGGAAGGGTTTTTGAATAGACAGAAGACGCGTGTTTTTAATTGGGAGGGGTATGTTTGTAAAAAAAACTTGGCTTTCCGCATAAAGCTCCCCCTATAAGCTTATTGAATAAGCCACTTTCCATTAATCCATTACCAAACCGTCATGTATAGCTGACCGAATAAGCTGCGAGTCTCATTAAGCCCGTTAAGCCGCTAACAAACAGACCTTTACTATGATTGTTAACTTACCACTAATACATGCTTCTGTGAATCAGGTGCTTTCAGTTGGACGGTCATTGTCAATACAGGCCCATCCTGATAAGGACTTGGCAAGGCTCCTTCATAAGTTGCAACCGGACGTATATAAAGATCCAAACCACAAGCCTGAAATGGCTTTGGCGTTAACAGAGTTTGAGGCCTTATGTGGGTTTATTAGTTATGAGGTAAGCATATTAGTCTAAGG